CTTTTACCCCATATTTTACTGCACCTTTCCTATGTTTAGGTATACGTAGATACACAAATACCATTGTGGTACAGTTGCCTATTGCCTACAATTCGGCACTGTCCTATTGCTCCTTGTAGCCTAGGAGCCATAGGCTACACCATATAGCCTAGGTGTGTAGAAGGCTGTACCGTGTAGGTTTGTGTAAGTGCACTCTATGAGGGTTACACAATGACAAATGACCTACTACGTATTTCTCAGAATGAATCCCTGTTGTTAGGCAGGGTCTGTCTGTATTCCAGAGTTAGAGTTGAGCATCATCTCATCTTCCATCTTGAACCTGAAACTTGGAGCCATGCATTTATATTCTGAACTCTCAGGTGGGACTTCAAAAACCCTTCTTCAAGGCCTCTGTCTTGGGAATGTGCTGCCTCTGAGTTTTGGGGTCTCATTTCCTGGGCCTGGAGGCAGCCACTGCCTCACCTGTGGGCATCCCTTTCCTGTGGCAATGAGCCTGTTCTCTGGTTGTTGCCAGCCCACTCCTGGCCAGTGCAATGAGGAGGGCAGGGCTGCTTGCCCCCAGCCCAGCAGGCAGGAGGGCACCAGCACAGAGGGTGCTGGAGTGAGTGCTCTCCTGACCTGGATGGAGTGAGGGGGCTTTATGGCTCCCTCCTCTCTCCTGCCCCTACAGGCCAAGAGAGGTACAATTCGCTGGCCTGGCAGGAAGGGTGTCCATTCCTGCCCTCACTGGCTTTGGGGCAGCAAAGGCAGGGTTGGATTGACCTGTGTTTCCTGAGGGTGCAGTGTAAGCCGCAGGCACATGGACAAGCAGTTCACATTTTAATAGTTATGTGTTATTCAAATATAAATTAGAAAATTTAGAACTAGCACACAATGGTCACAATTTTAAGAACATTATTGCTGGGGGTCAGAATAAGATTTGATTTAAAGGAAAATATTAAGTACATAACAGATCTTATGGAATTATATAGGCCATGATGGTGAAGAGTAAATGAGAACGAATGATGCTCGGGATATTTGGAATATTCTGCGTTAGAATCTGGCATGTATTTCTTGGCTGCAAAGGGTGAACTGAGGAATGGTTCCTTGGTGCCTAAATCAGGGGAAGTCACTGAGCTGACTGTGGTTGGAGAGGGGAGGCCGGGTAAAGGCAGATAGCGTGCTAGCACACACACACACACACACACACACACACACACACACACACACACACCTCATATACACATGACCATATTTATTAAATGTATGCATCTCCCAATCTTGGGTGGGTGGGGAGTGATTAACGCTTTGGAGAACAGAATTGAGAGTCACAAAGATCTCTAGAGGTTGAAAGATGGGAGGAAAGCAAGAGGAAATTGAACGGGAATTCATTCAGTTGGGAAATACCTATTGAGCACGTACTTGCCAGGCGCCACTCTAAGTGCAGAGGACACAGAAGAGAGGAAAGAGACACAATCTCTCCCTTGTGGAGCTCACATTCTAATGCAGGGAGACTGGCATGGGTAAAACACCTGGTATAGTAGGAAGCGATAGTGTGAAGCGGAAAGCGAGCAAGCAGGGAGGAGGATAAGAAGTGTTGGAGGGGAGATGGCCTCAGTGTTGCAGTTTTGGTTGAGGGCAGTCAGGGAGGGTGACTTCCAGCTAAGTGGGTATCCAGGGAGGAGCATGCCCGGAAGAGGAAGCAACTGTGCAAAGGTCCTGAGGCAGGCGTGTTCCTGGCATTCTGGAGAATGAATTAAAGGATAAACAAGGCTAGGCCTCTTTCATGCCCTAAACTTGTTTTTTCCTTATCATGATTGCAATTAAATACTTGTCTAATTATCTTTTCAGTGTCTCTTTCTCTACTAGGCTCTAGGCTTTCTTGGTGCCAGGGCTGGGCCTTGCTCTCTGCTAAATTTCTAATTCTCAGCACAGGCCCTGCACTTAGTAGGTGCTCAACCATATTTTGTTGAGTAAATGAATAAATGTGAATAAATGGCTTTTGGGTTAAAAAACTACTGCATAAGCAGAACAGGCTTGAGAGCAATTAGAGAGAAAGAGGCCGGGGAGTTGTAGCTGTGGCCAGGGGACACTGAGGGGTCACTTAGGAGGAACTTATAGGGGTGCCATGAATATTGCAGGGAGGGACGGAGGCTATGGGGAGCTACAATGAGCTGGGTGGCCAGGGACTTTCTCTAAGGCAGGATAAGGTGGCAGGGACTGCAGAGTTCCAGGTGTGGGTGAGAATGGTTACCCTCCTGACAGCTACCAGCCCTCAGCAAGAGCCCAGGGTGGCAAGGGTCAGAATGGCCCTAAGAGAAAGCGTAGCCAAGTACTTGCTGAGCTGAGAGCACAGAGGTGTAGAGAGGCAGGGCACTTGCCCCCGTCCACAGATCCAGGGAGTGGCCAGAAGCCAGGCCCCTGGCACTGAGGAATATAACCTCATAGATAGAACCCATTAGAGCCTTTGCATTTGCCAGGCTTAATATTAAGTCCAGGGTTTGAGCCCTTTGCACCTTTGTTGCTGCATAGATTGGGACCCCTGTGTGCTCAGACTGTGAGGGGTTGAGCATTCAAATCTCCAAACAATTCGGTCCTTCTCCTCATCACTGTGTGTGTGTTTTTTTTGTTTTTTTGTTTTTTGTTTTTTGTTTTCTACCAGGGGAAACACATATGACAGCAGCATCTGAGAACCTGGGCATTTAAGAAGGTCCTGCCATGAGTAAGAACTCATCTCCTAAAACAAGTGCTTACTGGAGCCCAGAGTATGCCAGACCCTGAGCTAGGTAGACTGGTGGACAAGACAGACAAGTGGAGTACTGGCCAAAGGCTTAGAGGGCAGTGGTCTGTGTTGGCTGGGGGTCCTGGATCTAGCTCATCAGCTATGTAGGTGGCCTTAGGCAAGTTACTCAGACCACAGAGCACTGGGTCAGAGCAGACTTAGAGGCCACCTGGTGCAATCTCTTAGGTTACTCAAGGGTGCACAGTCTGCACCCCGCCCTACAGCCAATGGGTCCTCAGAGGGCATTGAACCTTGAAGCTCACTTAGGCTCAAATTCTCAATAATATTTCAAATATGGGGAAGTTCCAAGGAGGTGGATTTGGTCCCATCCCAAATGTGTGATTCTGTCTTCAACTTTAAAATAATTAAAAATTTTTTTGATTTCCGAGAGGAAGGAAGAAGAAACAGCAACGATGAGAGAGTATCATTGATCAGCTGCCTCCTGCACACCCCTCACTGGGGATTGAGCCTGCAACCCGGGCATGTACCCTGACCATGAATTGAATCATGACCTCAACCACTGAGCAGTCTTCTACTTTTTAATACCAGGGTCAGGGGGAGGGGTAGTAGGGGTGGTAGAGTCCAGTCCATGGAGATCATTCTCAGGCATATTGGTGGGACCCAGAAGAAAGGCACCTGGCCCTCTTTGCCTCTGCAAACTGGTCCTGGGGGTTAGGGCTTGGAGGTGGGTCCTCAATACCATTCAACCCATTTTCCAGGTTCTCTTTCTAGATGGCTGCCTCTCCTCCCTGCCTCCCTTGAGTCTTTTCTCCTCTTCTCTTCTTCACCTGCCCCCTCAGTCCCTTGATTTCTTTTGCTCTTCCCACTGATTCCCCTGAGGTCATCTGTGGTTCAGGTTCATTTAGGGGAAGGAGGAAGGGGCTCCTAATCCTCTGGAAGGCAGGGTGACCTGCTCCCTTTGTCTGGCTGGGGGAGGGGTGGAGTGTCTCTAGGATGGTTTGCATCGCTAGGACTGACTTCCTCATATCTTGGTCTTGAGTGTGTATTGTGCGAGTCTCTCTTTGACCTTGCTTTGAGTTGCATTATCAAAGGACCCAGTATTGTAGTTTTGGAGTACACCAGTTCTAGAAAAGGTGGGAGGGATGGGGAGGGGTGGGAGGGAGACAGGGAAAAAGAACTCTCCAGCCATGTAAAAAAGACATGTTAGAAATTTCTGAAAAACCAGAACTGCCTGATACTGCTCACCAGCAGTGGAGGAGCCCCAGTGGTGGTGGTGGTGGAGGTGGTAGGGGATGGTGGGGGCTGGATGCCTCCTTCCAGGGTCTTGCAGCAGAGGAGGCCCACTCAATGTTGGATGCACCCTGTGTCTCTTCCACTTAGCAGACTGTCAGGGCAGAGACAGTATCTATCCGGTGAGGAACCCCAAGCTCCTGTTTCTGCTCCCAGTTCCCCAAGGCAGCGTGTTTCTAGACGCACTTCATTTCATAATCTGGGTGCCTCTGCTCTGTAACCTAACGATGTGGTGCTTGACTTGGAGAGGGGCTGGCGCTGGGTGTTTGTGGAAGGGACACAGGCTGGGCTCATGCTCCATTGGCCGTGATCCTGGATGGAGATGCCTGGTGTGAGTGGGGTGTTGCCCCATGGATGATTGCTGGGTTGGGCAAGAGGAGGGACTTGGACACCCAGTTTTTTTGTTTCATTTCCAAACCCTGAAGTGTTTTAGTCAACCCTGACAGTTACACCTCCTGGCTTCTCAGTGCTGCGAAGTGCCTTCTCCAGTTCTTATAGGTAGATTTTTTCCTTGAGAAGCTTCACTTACCTCTATCTAACATCTCCAAGGCACTCAGGTTCTCTGTCTGAACCCCATCCACTCCTTTCCCCACCTTGAATGTCCTTCCCTTCTTCCCTGTCTCCTTCTCCAGGAAGTCTTCCTTGACTGACCCTCCGTGATGTTGCTCAGGGCCATTGCCCTCCATTCTCAGCACTGAAGTCCAGGCCTCTGGCTACTACTTCCTTGTCTTGGGGACAGGCCCAGCTCTCCCTCAGGGTCTGGGTCTCATTCCTGGGGCTCTGCACGTGCTGAGCACTTATTCTCCAGGTGTGTCAGACAGGTCAGCTGCAGCCAGTGACAGACACAGTCAGGCCAAGAGCATCTTGCTCTCCAAGGCCCAGCCCAACACGGGAGGGGATAAAAGACTTGTGCCAGGGCCTCGGGGCAGGAACTCACATACCTTGATTCTCCTCTGCCTGTGTGCTGCTGTGACTGCAGGTCTCTGCCATGTCTCTTTCCCCCTGCAGGGCCCAGAGGGGCTTCGGTGCTCGCTCAGCCTGTTCTACTGGCTCTAGGGGCCGAGGCAGGGGTAGCTTCAGCAGCAGGAGCCTCAATTCCTTCGGGGGATGCCGAGGAAGTTCCCGTGGAATGGCCTGGGGGTCAGGGGGAAGGCAATTTGGGAAGGGGAGTGGTGGGCCTGGGCTTTCCCTGTGCCCTCCAGGAGGCATCCAGGAAGTGACCATCAACCAGGATCTGCTGACCCCATTGAAGATTGAGATTGACCCCCAGTTCCAAGTGGTGAGGACTCAGGAGACCCAAGAGATCCGAACCCTCAACAACCAGTTTGCTTCCTTCATTGACAAGGTGAGGGTCAACTCAGCTAAGCCCTGCTCAGTGCATCTTTAGGAGGAACTTCCTGACAGACTTGGGGATGGGGATGTCTGGTCTACCACTTTCCTATCTACCTCTGCAGCAAAGAAGTCCCTCTTTGGTCTAACTGGAGTCTCCCTGGTTATGTGGAGGTCCTGTGGTCCCATGGTTGTGGCTCAGCAGCAGAAAGCTGCCAGCCAGCAGCGGGGAGACCCTTCCTCATTAGTCTTTCTGATTATGTTGATGTGCTCAGAGTCTTGAGGCTGCTGGGTTGGGGGGCATTGGAAAGTGGACTGACTACAGGGTCCCTGAGGTTTCACGCTCCAGAGGCTGTGCCCAGGAAGTCCCACAGGGGCCTCAGGGACCCTCTGCTTATGCGCAGGTGCGGTTCCTAGAGCAGCAGAACAAGGTCCTGGAGACCAAGTGGCACTTGCTGCAGCAACTAGGGGTGAGTGACAGCCCTCGGGGCCTGGAGTCTTTCTTTGAGGACTACCTGGGCCGGCTCAGGAAGTGGCTGGAAGAGATCCAGAGACAACGAGGGGCTCTGGACGCTGAGCTGAAGTCCTGCCAGGACCAGGAGGAGGAGTACAAGGCCAAGTAGGTAGACCGAAGTTCCCCATGGGGACAGAGTGGGGTCTCAGAGGGCTGGATAAGAGCTGTCAGCTGAGACCACCCCCCCCCCCCCACCTGGGCTTCCCTTTAGCCTCTCTGCATCTCATTCCCTCTGACTCTCAGTATGCCCCACCTGCTGCAGGTAAGTAGCTCACTGCCCCTGCTGCCCAGATCTGAGAGCCAACAGGCCCCAGCTCCAAGGCCCAGGTTTTTGGCCAGCACTGGGAAGGGCTTATTTAAACAATGCCTCAATGGGTTTTTTCTTGAGAAATTCCTGTTGAGCAGGCTGTAGGCTAAAGTGACTCAGATGTGTTCTGGCATCAGGGGCGGAAGGGAATTTATTTTGTGGGACCATCCCCAGACCCGTGGCATGATTCATAGCTCAGCTGCGGTTCTGGGTTCCCACCTAAGTCACCTGGTGGTATGGAGAGAACCTTGGCCTAACAGCAGGCTTGGGTTCAGTGGCTGTGGGCAAAGGGCAGCTGTGTGGCCTTGAACAAGTCATTTTACCTCGCCCAGCCTCAGTTTCTATATCTGAAAACTGGGAAGATGTCACTGCCCTTTTTCCCTCCCAGGGCTGTTAGGAAGGTGGGATGTGAGGTGGAGTGGGCCCTGGAAGGAACCCAGGTTGGGGACAGGACCCCTAGGTGTTAGGTCTGCTTGGCCACCTAATCATCTATGACTCAGGCAATATGATTTGTAGAATCTTTCTGATAAAATCCAACTGCTTGCTTCAGGCCCCATCATTGTGAGTGGTGAGAAAAAGTGTGTGTCCCTTGTAAATGTGAAGAAAAGCGGCCTATGTCTTTAAGGGGACATGGGCTTAAAGAATAGAGAGGGCATAGCTAGGATGTGACCAAAACTTCCTGATAGGAAAGGTAGAGACACAGGCTGGTTGTGTGTCCTGCTTTGGAGCATCTACAGGCATGAGTGGCCTCTTCAAGGAGGTCATGCTTGGAGGAAGCACATCAACTCTGAGCTCAGCATCTCTCTGTTTTTACCTGGCAGGTATGGACAGGAAGCCCACAAGCGGGCCACCGTGGAGAATGACTTTGTGGTTCTCAAAAAGGTGAGGGGGAGTGTCAGCCGCTCCATTTGCATCCCGAGGACCCAGAGTGCAGAGCCCAGTCATAGGTTTGGAGGGCAAAGAGTTGGAGATCCCCATGAAGAATACACTGTCATATTGCCTGCCGGGGTCCCTCAGATAAATGAGCCATCTACTTAGACATAGGGACCCCAAGACAAGATCCGATAGAAGGATCATGTGATGTTTTTGGGTGTCACTGTGGGAAAGGGTGGGGAGGGGGGAGAATAGAAGAAGCAGAACTGGTTGGGATTAATCAGGGAAGGGTTCCTGAAGGCAGTATGGGTCAATGTTAGACAAAAGCACAGGGCGGGGTGGAGAAGGAAGAAGCGGGTTTCTGGAGATGGCTGTGGGTGGATGTTGGACAGTTTGTGAACAGAATTCCTGAGCCAGCTAGAGTGGGGCCACAGAGAAGTAGGGTACATGGTTTCTGCTTCCTTCCCCCAGGATGTGGATGAAGTTTTCATGAGCAAGATGGAGTTGGAAGGCAAGCTGGAGTCCCTGAGAGAGCACATCTGCTTCTTGAGGCGTCTGTATGAAGAAGTGAGGACCTGCCAGTGGCAGAAGTGGTGGTCTTTGAGGGCAGATGATAGTGAGGGGAGGGGGGAGGGTGGGCAGCCTCCCTGTGGCCACTGTTGGAGTGGCCAGAAGGGGCGAAGCCTAGTTAGGGTGATGTAGACTCTGGCCATTCAGTCATTAGACAAACAATCACTGAGAATTTAGTATGCGGATTGCTAGGTTCCGGGGACACACCAGTGAATAACCCACCCAAAGTCACAGAGCTTGCTTCCTACTGGGAGCTGGACAATAAATGACAGACTTAGTAAATACGTATGTTAGAAGGTGATAAATGCCACAGATAAATGGAAAATTAGAACAGGGAAAGAAGGATTGGGAATGTGGGGGGTAGGGCAGGTTGTAATTTCAAATAAGGTGGTCATGGTGGCCAGATATAGAAGATAAAATTTGAGCAAAGATTTGAAGGAGGTGAGGAAGTTACCCTCTCAGGTAGGGATCCTGGATCCCAGTGTGAAGGAGTGGCCCCCCACCCTGCGTGCTGGTGTCCGAGGAAATGCAAGGAGACCGTGTGGCTGGAACAGCCAGAGTGAGGGAGGTTGGGTGATAAGAGGTCAGGAGAGTGATGGGGACCAGATGATTTCAGGCTTTGCAGGACATTTTCCTTTAAATTCCAAGCTGCATGCCCTGGCCGGGTACTTGGTTAGAAATTGTCCCTATATACCATGGTTGCAGGTGTGATCTCCAGTCAGGACACATATAAGGATCAACCAAAGAATGCCTCGGTGGGTGGGACAGCAGGCCAATGTTTCTCTTTCTCTAAGATCAATATAAAAAATTTCCAAGCTTCAAGAGTCATTGAGACCACCTCCTTCAGCCCTCATCCCAGACAAGGAGACAGCCCCACAGATGGCAGGGAGTGCTCAGTGCCACTCTGTATGAATGAGGGCTGCCCACTGATGGAGTGTGGGCAGAGAGTCAGGCTTCTTACCCACCTTCCCCAGGGCTCCAAGGGGAAAGGAAGCTGGGGCAAGTGGACACTGAGTCAGTCTTCCTGGCAGGAGCTGGACCAGCTGCAGACCCAGGCCAGCAACATGTCTGTGGTGCTGTCCATGGATAACAACCGCTGCCTGGACTTCAGTGACATCATTGCCGAGGTCCGGGCCCGGTATGAGGAGATCACCCAGACCAGCAAGGCCGAGGCTGAGATGCTGTACCAGACCAAGGTGCCAGGGCCAGAGGCAGCACTGTGCTGGAAAAGATTGGGTCTTCCTGCCCACACCCCAGGGGGGTTGTCTACCTCGGTTCCATTGGGTAGTTCTGATAACCTTCCTGAAGTTCCAGAGCTGGGTGGGCACAACCACATCCATTCTCCTGGAGGGAGGCAATGCAGGAAACCTGTGGGAGACGAGCCTGGACTTCTGCGAGCGCATCCCACCATGTCCTGGTCTCAGTGTTTAACCCATGTTCCAAATGAGGACGTGAGGAGGCAACGAATGGGGGGCATGGGTCTTGGCATCAAAGGTGAGGTTCCTCTCAACTCATGGTCACCTCTGTCCCCCTCAGTACCAGGAGCTGCAGGCATCTGCCCAGCACCATGGGGACAGCATGAAGGAAGTCAAAGTTCAGATCTCTCAGCTGCAGCAGGCAATCCAGAGACTGCAGAGCCAGATTGAGAACCTTAAGAAGCAGGTGAGGGTCCCAGAGCTACTCAAGCCCTGTCTCTTGCTGCCTTTGTGCCATGTCACTGCTGGGCTGGTGTGAACCTTGACAACTGGCTGGACTTTAAGTAATTTGGGGTAGAGAGAACCTCAAGCCACACTTAAGGAGACTTCAGCCTTCCTCTTACACATTCTAGCTGCATGGGCTCTGCATTGAACAACTCCAGGTGGCTCTGCTCATGCTGGATTCCACGTCCAGGTGTACATCTTGCTTTAGGTTCCTTGCGGAGAGGGTTACTTTATCTCTTTTCTTATCCCTTCTTTTGACTTTGATGCATCAAGCTCAGCAGGGCCTCTAAGGCCATGCACTGAATTTCCTGGTTTCCTTTTGGGGAGGGTGAGAGCCAGGACCTCAGAGAGCAGGCGACATGGGCAGTAGAGTGGGGGGCTAAGCCCTCCTTAGGAGGTGATACTGTTGGTGCCTGGTGTGGGAGGAGTGAGAGGGATGGAGAGAGAGGGAGGCAAGGTCAGGGAGGTGGTTTCCCATTCCTCCTGGAGAATTCATTGCTAGATGTGAAGATTTCCAGTTCTTAAGTTTTCAAGTGTCTTTGTACTTACTTTCCCCAAATCTGAATAATTGGTTTTGGGGTCCACAGAGCATTGAAAGCTGAGACCACCAGGTCAAGTTCCCTCTAAGAACTTCGGCTTGATTCCCAAGTTGCACATGACCCATCCACTGCCAGCAGGGCCCTCAGGAGCAAATCCTTAGAGTACAGACCACTCCACGCCCAGTCCAGGACTCCAACCATCCTTACCTGCACTTCTTTGGAGTGTGACAGGACCCGTTACTTAATTTGCTGCCATTGTGCTTTGCCCTTAAGGTTGGATTCCCTGGGTTGCCTGTTAAAATAGTTCCCTGGGTCTCCTGCCAGATGGAGGGAATCAGGGTCTCTAATGGTGGAGTCCAGAAACCTGCTTCCTAATCTAAGTTCGCCCAGGTGACACAAATATGGGGAGTCTCAAAGTCCAGCTGCCAGAACTTAGGGGGGAACTATGTCCCAAACTGTCTGGGAACCAGAGCTCCTCCCACAAAAGGCTGACCCCTTCTTGGGGATATGACTCCCCTGCTCCCGTTACTCCTCCTCTTCATGCACACAATGAATTGGGCTCCCCTGTGCCAGGCCCCAGGCAGAGTCCTGCGGGTTACAGTTAGAGCAGTGGACTGGACTTCAGCTTTAGGTGGGGTCGTGACCCTGACATTCACCTTTCTGAGCCTCAATTTCCTCACCTGTAGAATGGAGGTGATGCTCCCCATCCACAGGGTGCTTGCCTGGGAAAGAATAATGAGAACATTAGGGAATGCCTTCACTCCAAATCAAACATGAAGGCCAATCAGCTGGATGGCCAATTAGGCAGTGGTCTTCATCTAAGAGTTTTCTGTAGGATTGGAGAGATAAGTACAGAGAGTCTGTTTTTCAAACTGAAAATGGAGGTACATAGTTTGATAAACTCTGAAAACAGGACAAAATATTTGAAATGTGGCTGTAGGTAGTGAATGGAATAGGACAGAAAGAGGCTTAGCGGAAGGAAGAAGCAGGAGAGATCACTTGAGGTGGCAAATGGTGGGTTAGTTTCTTGTGGCTGCTGTAACAATGTACCACAAGGTTAGTGGCTTGAAATGGCAGAAACGTATTCTCTCAGTCTGGAGGTTAGATGTCTGAAATCAGAGTCGGCAGGGCCAGGCTCCCTCTAAAGGAGCCAGCTGGAAACTTCCTGTCCTCTGCCTGGTTGCTGGTGGCTCCGGCAATTCCTTGGCATTTCTGGTTTTGTAGTCGCATCACTCCAGTCTCAGCCTTCGTCTTCAAGTGGTGCCTTCTCTCTGTGCCCGTGCCCTCTTATCTTTTTCTAGGAACACCAGTCGCTAGGTTCAGGACTCACTTAAAATGCAATACGATATCATCTTGCAATCCTTAACTAATTACATCTGCAAAAAACCTTATTTTTATCTGTAGCAAGTGCTTTGGGAGGCTGTGTTGTGCTCACAGCCATTTTCTCCCTCATGTCTACATCCCTCCCAGAATGCTGACCTGGAGGCCGCCATCACACAGGCCGAGCAGCGTGGGGAGCTGGCCATCAAGGATGCTCAGGCCAAGGTGGCCGAGCTGGAGGCCGCTCTGAGGACTGCCAAGCAGAACATGGCCCGGCTCCTGAAGGAGTACCAGGAGCTGATGAGCACCAAACTGGCCCTGGATGTGGAGATTGCCACCTACCGCAGGCTGCTGGAGGGCGAGGAGTGCAGGTGGGGCCCGACAGAGGACCTGGGGATATGTTTTTTGTGAGGAAAGGTGGTGGTGAAGGATGGAATGCCAACACAGAGCTTTCTTGGCGAGGGGAATCCTGAGAGATTTCCTCACATTCTAAGCCATTGAAGGAAACCCATTTCTCTGGGAGGGGTTTTAAATGGGGGACCGTGGACTTTACCTGCTGAGAAAGTAGGTGAGCTGCTCCAAGAGGCATTCTTGCGCCTTTCTCAACCTTTTCTCTCTTATTCTTTCTCCCCCAGAATGTCTGGGGAATGGACCAGCCAGGTCACCATCTGTGAGTATCAGGGGACTTTTGGGGAGGGAACCCCATGGGGAGTCAAGGACCCTCTATGACACTGGTGTATTTCTTGCAGCCATGGGGGGAGGTAGTGCCATCCTGTCTGGAGGAACGTGTGGACTTGGAGGTGGGTCCGGCTGCTCCAGCGTCGTGACTGGAGGCTCCAACATCATCCTGGGCTCTGGACAGGGCCCTGTGATGGGGTCCTGCTCTGTGTCCAGCTCTGGCTCTGGCTCCAGCTGTCGCACCATCCTGAAGAAGACTGTCGAATCAAGTCTCAAGACATCCATCACATACTGAGTGCAGTGCCAGCCTCTTGCTTTCCTGCCTTCCTGAACATTCTCAGCCCTACCCCCACCCCGTCATCCCATCCCTGCATGGCCAATTGTGTGTCCATTGCCCACAGGGGATGCTGCAAAAATCAATAAAGTCATGTCCACCTGCTGTTCTGAGTGCTGGCCTGGTCTTGCCTAGTGATTTGTCTAATTTGTCTGCTATCTGCCCAGTGCATACTGCTCCATCCTCCAACTACCCAGCCTCATCCTCTTCTCTCTTCATGGTCTCCAAGCTGAGCTAAGAAAACCCTGGGTTTGGCTTGGCCAGTCTGCATCCTATCCAAGTATTGTCCTTTGAGGGGAGGGGAAAGGTCTGAGGGCTACTGATCAGACCCTAGAGGCTTTACCAAGAGGCACCTGCCCTACTCATCTGCCTCTGAGCCTCCAGTTCTCTAGTTTTTCTGTGAAATGAAGCAGCCCCAGTTCTCTCTGGGGATGAGTTTTCCTTCCTTCCTTCCTTCCTTCCTTCCTTCCTTCCTTCCTTCCTTCCTTCCTTCCTTCCTTCTTTCCTTCCTTCTTTCTTTCCTTCCTTCCTTCCTTCCTTCCTTCCTTCCTTCCTTCCTTCCTTCCTTCCTTCCTTCCTTCCTTCTTTTCTTTTCTTTTCTTTTTTTTTTTTTTAACATATTTTATTGATTTTTTACAGTGAGGAAGAGAGAGGGATAGAGAGTTAGAAATATGGATGAAAGAGAATCATCGATTAGCTGCCTCCTGCACACCCCCCACTGAGGATGTGCCCACAACCAAGGTACATACCCTTGACCGGAATTGAACCCGGGACCTTTCAGTCTGCAGGCTGACGCTCTATCCACTGAGCCAAACTGGTTTTGGCTTCCTTCCTTTCTTTACCTCTCCATTCCCTCCCATAAATTGTATTGGGTACAAACCACACTTGAGCCACAGTTCCAAGACTGGGGCTACTCTGGCAAGCAAGACCAAACCATCCTCACTCCTAGTGGGTCTGAAGACATCTGCTTCTGATGTGTCCAGCATAACCCCTCCCACCCATGAGAACCAGGTTTTCCTTCTCAGAGCCCTTGGCTCCAGGGCCAGAGGCCAGCCTCCTGTGGCTAATCAGACACCAACCTGGGTGGTCAGGCACTTTTATGTCTTGTCCCTTCTTCTAATCCCTTCCTCCTGATGCCCTGGCTCCAGCTCTATCTAAGGTGGCCAGGCTGGGTCTTGTCACCTCACCCCCACCTTTCATCTCTGAGCTTTAATCCGGCCTTCCTCCTGGACAGGGGTGCCCCAGTCAGGTTAAGAATTCAGCAGTGATGCCAAGCCACAGCCTTCAGAATGTGATCCAAGGGCATTTTGAGGAGAGGCTGAAGGGCAGGGTCAAAGGTCCCCTGTGGCAACGTGCATCATCTCTGTCACTCCTTCCAGCAATTCAGCCAGGCCTCCAGGCTTGCGCAACCAGCAAAAAAGAAGGTGTGCCACTGCCCAGCCCATTCTCCACAGAAGGCAATCTGTGAAATATTTAGGCTTGCTCAGGTTATATCCTATGAGCATCTCACTTCTTATCCCAAACAGCTTATCAGAAGCTTCCTTCCAGCCCCTCAGTATACTCCCTGGTACCCCCCCATTTCCACCGATGTTTTAGCATCTCTTGTAGCTTGCTCCCTGATTAAGCCTCCAGAATAGGCTCCATTTCTGACTCAGGACAGTCCCCTTCATCCTTGTTTCTCCTTTTGCCCAAGTTTGAACCAGATTTTTCTCTTCCTGTAAACCTTCCCGACTCCCTGTGTCTGAATCCACCAGATTCTTCCTGTTCCCAGCACAGCCTGGCTGCTATCCTGGGCTCTGTTTCTGTCTGTTCTGGTCTAGGACTCAGCTTCTCCATTAGCCTGGGACCTCTGGTCAGGCTTTTCTCCTGGCTCAGCAGCTCAGCTTGTGCTGGGGCTCTTATGGGGACTTGGGACTGGAACTATGGCCCATCCCTCTTACCTCTTGACTCTATCCCACCCATGGACCTGTCTGAGCATGAGACTGGAAGCTTCTCCTCCTTCCCTCTTTTTTTCAGAAAGCCAGGAGAATGGACATCAGGGCCAGGTGCTACCTCAGCAGTTGTGTTGGCTCTTGCACTGCTCCACCCATCTTCTCGCTCTCCACCTGGGTCAACTCCAGCCTGCCAGAGGTCCCAGACTAATAGAGAGAGATCAGCCGTTTTTTCAGATCCATGGGTCTCTCCATCAAAAGTATCCAAGAAAGAGGCTTGTCAGCCCTCTGTGAGGGAGACATGAGTGGGTGAGTGTGAGGCTCTGGAGCTTGGATCCCAGCTCTGCCATTTACTAGTGGCGGCGGAACTTCGACCAAGTTACTTAACCTCTCCCTTCAGTTTCCTCATCTGTGACAAGACATTAATAATACTAACAGGGCCGTGTGGGGATGGTAACATTCAGGATCCCAAGAGCAAACAAATTCACCCAAAATAGTTCAGTTAAATAGGCTTTAATGAAAGGATTATTTACAGAGGTGTGGGTGTGGCTATGGGAAAAAGCATAGGATGCAGAGGCCAGAGACTGGCAGCACTGGGAAGCCATTGCTACCCCAGAGCTGGGGAGGCTTCCATCTGGTTTTCCAGGCCAAGAGGTTTTCTGGGACGAGGGACTGTTGGTGCTAACGCGAGATGGTCCTGGGAAAATCAGGGCCAGGTGGACATCCTGTGGAGAGCTGGAGACACAGGAGGGAGAAGCAGCAACTAGGTGATAGAGTTGGGGAACTGTGGAGAGATCACGTGGAAGGAGACATCCGGTGCAGAAACAGGGAGGGAACGGGAGGAAATACTGGTCCTCTCTCCCTCCCAGACCTCCCCATGGAGTCTCCCTTTGGCCAACCCAGCGGAAGCCAGAGAACAAGAGAGCAGCCTACCAGGGTCAGGGAGATTGGTGAGTGGATCTAGGGCAGGTGAGTGGATCTGGAAAGAGGCAAAGGGAGCATATTCAGGATGGAGAGGAAAGGTGTTATTGCATGGAAAGCGTATAGACTCCTGTCTGCCCTAAGGTGTGTGCTCAATTAAGGATTGCCTATATAACCACAGAAAGTTCTACCTTTGTATGGGGGCTCCTCAAGGGCAGAGACTGTATTTTCTTCACCCCTGTATCCTTTCTATTGTTCAACACCCAGCCTGAGCCATGTTGGGTGCCCGGTTGTCCCACTTCATTCATCATCATTCCATTGCCTCTTGTCCTGTCACAGGGAGGGGCCCTAGATCAATGATGGATGCTCTCAGAGTGAGTGGCAGCAGGGGGAGGAAACTGCTCCTTCTTGGGCCACGGAGAAGGTGTGAGCTTGGGTGGCCTGCACGAAAGCGGAGAGGCAGGAGAGGAGGAGGCACAGTGGCTCCCACAGTCTGGGATGGGACTGGTGAGATGTCCTTCTGGGTAGGAGGGAGGCTACGCAGGAAGTAACTGCGAGAGCAGGCCCTGGGTTGCCTGTGTGTCTGTCATCAGCTCCCAACACAAAGCCTGGCACAGAGCACCAGGTAAATACGTGTGGCTGTGCAGGGTGGAATGTGTGTTTGCAGCCCACTCTACTCCCACCACCAGGGCAGCTCCTGACTCAGAGGGCTGACATCACTCCTTTCCCCAGGGAGGGAGGCCCCACTCACAACTGTCTTTGCCTCCCACACCCCCATTAGGGAGAGATAAGGGAGGCTGAGAAAGTGATAACAGCCTCAGGGACAGGAGACAAAGGTTAGGGAAATGACGGGGGGGGGGTGGGGTGGGGGTGGGGGGTTCTGCAATCACAGGCAGGTGCTTTTGGAAAGGACTTTCCTGGCGGGCCCAGCTCACAGCCCTGCTCAGAGGCAAGGAGAAGTCAAGAGTTGCCAGAGGACACACAGCTCAGTGGGATTCATCTCCCCCTTCCTGATTCCTTCCCCATATGCCTGTTACCCCTAGCTCCAAGCAGGGAGGAAAATTAAGGGGCTGGATCTGTCAGTGGCCCATGTCTTACTGTTCATGGGAGAATATTCAACTTCCTGATGCTGGGAGACATGGCCTGCTCTCCTCCTGCCTTCCTTGGGGGTAGTCCCATGTCCTCTGGGATCCTGGGAACACAGACTGGTGAGAGTCCCAGCTCTAGCCCTGGCAGCTGTGTGAGGAGCCCAGCCAGTGCAATCTTTCTCCTTCCCTCAGGCAAGTCTCTCTCCTTTCTGGGCTCCTTGCCCTCCTCCCCTAAGTAGGTGAGAAGAGACAGTCTCTAAAGTCAACCCCTCATTACTCCCTCAGTCCTAGCATTTGACTAACATTTCCAAGTTTCCCTGTGGCTGTTGGTCCCAGTAGCCTGAGTTGGTGAAATGAGGAAGGGACTGTGTGAAGTGATTTGAGGACCTCCCTCCCCTTGGCTCCTTCTGAATTAAGCATGGGGCTCCTTCTGGACTGGGAAGATAGGAATGCTGGGGTGCTCCATGGACCTTATGGGGCTTTTGCTGAATACAGACTTCTTGGATCTGTACCTATGTCCAGCCAGATGGGATGTGTCCTCCACCTCCTCCAGCTCCCTGCAGAGTGGCTGCACCCTTCTGGGAGGCTCTGCTGTAAAGCAGAGGGTTGGGGGTCTCAGGTGATAGTCCACTGTTTCACTTTGCCCCCCTCACCTTCCCAGCTTTCTGGGCACTGCCTGTGGAGCCAGGCCTTTCTATTTCCTGAAGTGCGCAGGCATTGTGGTTGGGCAGGAACCTTCTTCCTGCCCTCCCAACCACTTTGCCCAGCACAGAATCTCCATGCAGCACCAGCCTGTGGTGTATGACAAGGAAACAGATTGTCCCACGCTCACTCCATCATCTGTACCCCCCCACCCAGACCTGCCAGGGGGCAATGAGGCCGTGGGCTGGGAGGTGGGACTGCAGCAGGGCTGGGCGCTCTCTCCACAACCCATTGCCCAATGCGCCTTCATTCACCACCTGCTCAGCCTGGGCCCTGGGGCCTTGGCTTACAACAGGAGCCTGGGATAAACCCCACAGAACAGAGCCCCATTGATAGTGGCCACCAGGGCTGGGTGGGAGGAGACCAAACCAGCCACCGCGCGGTGGAGGTGGCTGTGGGAGCCCCTATCATCCAGTTCCAAGGCAGGGGAGCCCCAGGGGGTGGCATCCTGCCCCAGACAGTCTCTGCTCAACCTCAGCTCTGGGGCACCGGTGATAACTGGAAGCAGCCCCTCCTTCCGGCTGGGGGAGAAGGGACTCTCCCGCCCCAGCCCACGGGGCCCCTCCCTCTCCTCCTGGGGCAATGGGGCAGGAGCATCTGTGGAGGTGAGGAGCCAGCCCAGTTGGGAAAAGATAAAAAGCGCATCAGTGGCCCAGCAGCTCACCACACTCCCTCCCAGCTCTCAGCCTGTGCTCTAGCCCCTCTGACAGCCATGAGGTCTTCAATGGCTCGGCGGACGTACACCACCAAAGGGGGCTTCAGCTCCAACTCTGCCAGTGGAGGGGGTGGGCCCAGGGCCCACACCAGCTTCAGCTCTGTCACCATGTCCCGGAGCAGTGGCAGTGGTGGTGGGGCCCGCTGTGGCCCGAGCACAGGCGGCTTTGGCAGCCGGAGCCTCTATAACTTGGGGGGCAGCAAGAGTATCTCCGTCAGTATGGCTGGAGGGGCCTCCTCAGGGCGGGCCCTCGGCGGCTTTGGCCATGGCGGTGGGGCCTTCATGAGCCTGGGGGCTGGAAGGCAAACATTCGGGCCCGTCTGTCCTCCTGGCGGCATCCAGGAGGTCACCGTCAACCAGAGCCTGCTGACCCCACTCAACGTGGAGATCGACCCGGAGATCCAGCGGGTGCGCACCCAGGAGCGGGAGCAGATCAAGACCCTCAACAACAAGTTTGCCTCCTTCATCGACAAGGTGGGCCAAGGGGGAAGGAGGCAGGGAGGGTTCTGCAAGAGGGCCAGGGCCTCTCAGAAAGGTGGGCTGGATGGAGGCCACTGTGGTGGGGGTCGTTAGGATGACTTTTGGAGTCCTTCCAGCCTGAGTCTGGGATGTCTAGACCTGGATGGCTAAAGACAATCTTCAGGCTTTTACTGTAATTGCTCAGGTGAATATCGAGTCTACTCATGCGGCCTATTGGCAAGCCCACCCTGATGGCTGCAGCCTTTCCTGCAGTCACAGTTAATACTATGACACAGCAGCCTTAGCTCACAATTACGTAGCGGATTGTCCTCATTGCTCCTCTTAGCAAGGTGGCCCTTATTACCTTTTGTCATTTGACAGTTAGGAAATTGACTCAGGTGAAAATTACCCAAGAAGCCTCATCTGCTCCCTATTCTCTCAGTCTTGGTGGAGCCCTAAGGACAAAGATATGGTCAGACACAATGGGGGAGGGGGTTGTCCTAGGGGAAAGCCCCCTTTTGCTTCTCCAAACTCCATGACTGGGGGCATGGAGTTTGATCTGTCCCAGGTTAGAAGTGTCCTGATTCCCTCCCTGGCATCCAAGTGAACTGGGAGGCCCTTGTCCTGTTCACTGGCATTTCCAGGTCTGTTTTGCTGGCCGTGTCCATCTCTAGCCTGAGCCTCCAGGACCATGATGGGAAAAATCCTGGTGGATGACTGTACCTGGGTTCAGCGATTTGTGGGTTCCCAAAGGACATTCATGTTCCTTTCTCATGTGAGACCCTCAGTGTCCCACAAGGAACCACAGAAGGTAACATTGTGTCCATTTTTAAGAAGAGAAAACAGGTTTAGAGAGGTCATGTAATTTTCCCAGGATCATACAGGTACCTGGAGGCAGAGGTTGGCACTAAAAGGGCTCCTACTGCTTATGGCAGGTGCACCTGCTGCGTGGTGCTCCTGGGCCACATGACTGTGGGCCTGCGGTGCTGTGGGCGTGGGACCTGGAGAGACTGGAGAGCAGAGAGTGAAGCAAGCCATTCCACCCACCCTCCTCACCTTCTGCCCTAGTGACTTTTGGTTCTTCTATGGGACTGTCCCAGAGGCTAACGAAGCAGAAACCCCCTTCAGGCTCTCAGAATCATGGTCTGAGAGCTGGGGGCCAAGAGGTTGTTAGTGTCTGGTGTCTGGGAACCCTAGCTCTGCAGAGAACCCCCCTGGGGCCTGTTAAACCCTTGCCATGAGCCCCCTTCTGAGTCTTTAGAGATATGGCTGGGCACTGCTATTTAAATTTTTTTTCTTTAAAGTCTCATTTACAAAAAAGTTGCAGGAAGAGTACAACATATTCTTTTATACTCTCAGCCAGATTTATCAATTAAAATGTTTTTGTCACATTAGCTTTTTCTTCTTTTTAATGTGTGTGTATATATAATCACAAATATATACATATATATTGTCTATATGTATATACACACACATATATATGCATTTATATTTTAAAAAATGTTTTTTTATTGATTTCAGAAAGGAAAGGAGAGGGAAAGAGAAATAGAAACATCAATGATGAGTAAGAATCATCGGAAGGCTGCCTCTTGCACTGGGGACCAAGCCCACAACCTGGGCATGTGCCCTTGACTGGAATTGAACCCAGGACCCTTCAGTTGGCAGGCTGACACTGAGCCAAACCAGCTAGGGCACACTCATATTTTTAGCAATTGATTTTGATGTAGAATTGGGTTAAAAAACACACATTGATCTAATCCAATTTATCCAGGACAAATGAGGAAGGGAAACCCAGAGAAGAGTGACTTGACTGTCTTTAAGTAGTAAATGTCCGAGCTGGTGCTTGCATGCTTATTAACTCTTTAGAGCCCTTGTCATCAGGACCATCTTTTCCAGCAAAGACCGCTCCCTCAGGAACTCCTCCCTCCAGCAAAGTGTGGGCCTGCACTGCCCCTGTGATGTCCTGGTTGTGGACAGATGGTGATAGGAGCCTCATCCTCAGTCCCTCCTGGGGAAAGGGGATGGTGCCAGCCCACCACTCTTCTTGCTCTGGCTCAGGTGCGATTCCTGGAGCAGCAGAATAAGGTGTTGGAGACCAAGTGGGCGCTGCTACAGGAGCAGGGCCAGAACAAGGGCATCACCAGGAACAACCTGGAGCCCCTGTTTGAGACCTACCTGGGCAGCCTGCGCAGGCAACTGGACAACCTCCTGAACGAGCGGGGCAGGCTGGACTTGGAGTTCAGGAATGTGCAGGATCTAGTCGAGGACTTCAAGAACAAGTAAGGAGGGTTGAGCAGGCTGGGATGATGTGGGAAGAGGCGGGGGCACATGGAAATCTCCGCAGAGAGAACCATCTCACCTGCAGGATCCTGGGACCCACGTGGGAGCTGCTTCCCTCGGTGCTCAGACATTGGACCCATAGTCTCCTGAAGAATTGTCACACTTGTCAATAATTTTGAAAAGTCTTTATTATAAGGTGGGGAGCATAGTGTAATGAATTTATATGTTCTCAATACCCAGCTTTAATAATTATCAACAGCCAATCTTGCTTCATCTATATCCCTACTTACTTTCTTTCCTCCCTTATTGTCTTAAGCAAATTCCATCCATCATATAATTTAATTCACAATTTTTTTTTTTTACTGGATATGTTCATATAGTTCATCTTCATGACTGGATTTAGCAAACATAAACACAATGCCATAATCACACCTAAAACTTTTAAAACAGTAATTCCTCAATTTCATCAAATAGTCAGTTAATTTTGATTTTCTAATTGTCCCATTACAGTAATAGTGTTTAAAAGTACAGTTTGTTTGAATAGAGATCTAAATAAGGCTCACATGTTATGGAAGGCAGCTATGCTCACCACTATACCACCAACGCGGACAAGGCTCACATCTTATGAATGGTCAATATGTATATTTATAATTTTAAGGCCTACTTTTTCATAAATTTTCCAACAATTTGACCTGAGTTGTTGGAAACCTCAAAGTCTCAGCAAAAGCATTTGGAGAGAAGTTAGTTGTTTGAAATGCCATCCTGTTGACACATCGCCACCTGTTCCTACAAAGCCTCCTAAGGGCCCTGATACAAAGAGATGACTTCTCTTAACTGGGGTAGTATCGCACAAATTCTGTGCCATTTCCTCAACAGACGCAAGGAGGAATAAAGTCTGCATCCCGTTACTTCACCGGTTGGCTGAAGAACTGCTTCCCAAAGGTGTTCTTGGCCAGTAGGGGACCCATCAAGGCTTCCTTAAAGCCAAGAAGGTCCAGTATCTTAAAAGGCACATCATGGGTAAGCCTGGACTGAATCTTGTCTGTGTAACAGGTATGAAGATGAAATCAACAAGCGCACTGCTGCCGAGAACGAGTTTGTGGTGCTCAAGAAGGTGAGCAGGGTGACAGGGAGTGGGAGAGGGTGATCCCTTGGCTGCCAGACTGCTGGCTGATGCTGAGAGAAGCCTGACCTTGGGGGCTGAGCCATCTGCCCTGCTCTCTCCCTCATCCCTAGGATGTGGATGCTGCGTACATGGGCCGGATGGATCTACATGGCAAAGTGGGCACTTTGACCGAGGAGCTCGATTTCCTGAATACTCTCTATGAAATGGTGAGCCGGCCAGTGGACAGGAATCGTTACATACAGCACGGGGGATCCCTCCAGAGGACTGATCTGAATTCACCAGTGCCATTTAGTTGATAGAAGCTAAACCTAGACCTTTGACTAATACTAGCTTCCATTTATTAAGTGCTTAAATGGGCCAGGTACTGGGCTAAGCGCTCAACAACTCTGTAGGTACTATTGTCTCCCTTGTATAGTCAGGGACACTGAGGCTCAGAGCAATTTGCTTATGGTCACATAGCTAGTTAGAGGCAGTGCTGGAGTTAAAATCTAGTTCTCTAACTTCAAACTCTGACTCTTGCTACTGTGTTATACTATGTCCCCTTTCTTGCCCAATTTGTAGTAGAGCAAGGGAAGGAGGAGCAGAGATTGGCAGAGCTGAGATGGGGACTGACATTCCAGATTGGAGCAGGAGATGAGGTGTAGGTGGTGTGGTTCCAGGAAACAAAGGGACTTTGAAGACTTGGGTGAGAGGGTTGAACTTAACATGAGTTGATTCTAGAATAATAGACTCTATGTAGGGGCCTCAAGGTAAGTCTTCCACTCATTTTAAAGCACTTTCTTTAATTTCCCTGATGGGATCATGTAGACTCCACTTCTATATATATATATTTTGGCCAAGAATTTCCATTTCAGAACAACTTTGTTAGAAAGCTGACTTGAATAATCTTCTCATAGCTTCTGCTCTTGATAAACCTCGATTCTGCCCATGGCTGCACATATTTAATTACCTCCCATGTGACATTTTTTCATATGACAACCCTTTAGAGGTCAGGATGATTAGGGAATTGAAATCTGTGGTATGTGCAGAAATTTAGGAAAGAAGGTTCTGAATCCAAAATTCAGAAAACAGAAGGGAGGGAGGCTACAGATTCAGATTTCTATTTATGCAACCTAATATTGTACTAACTTATGTGTTATTTAAAAAATCATCTCACCATGTTTGTTCCCTTAAAATCTTCCTGGATTTTTTCCACATCAATGCTTTCAGAGGAGCCAGGCAACCACTGTCCTCCAGCTTCCTGTATTTGGGAAGCTGAATTTTTGAAACTGAATGCAAGAGCTAATGATTCCCCCTTTTTCTTGTGAAATGTTATTGAGGTTTCATCCCATTGTTGCAGGTCATTGTGGGCACATTGAAACTGGATTTTCCTCTCCATGTATTGGAGATGTCCAATCGGATATATTAGTGATGCATCAGCTTTGGATTATTTGCAGGCTTGATAAACTTTCAATTTAGTTGTTTGATGATATTTCAGTACAAATTATTGATAATTGAATTAAGGCAGACCGAGTGAGAATCCTAGTCTCATGGTTGCAGGTCATTGTGAGACAGAGTCCTAGTCTCAAGACTAGATTTTCAGTGGTGCCTTCCCTCTAGGAAGGGCATT